TTCATTATAGAAGCATTGACACTTCTCAATAATCAAAAACTTTATCCAGAAACATGGACTGCTGAGAAAATAGCACAAGAATATCATTTAGAACAGAAAGATCTCAATTGCTTTCTTAAATATTTTGTTACTTTTGAAGTCAAAAATCTTCCCTCCTGGACAAGAAAGCAAGACAGTAAAAATGAAGAAAACCCCAACAATTTCCTATGTGTACTCCTCATCCCTCATCCTGTATATTTTCTTTTTTTTCGCATTAAATTATGTTAATTACACTGTGTTTAATGCTGATTGTGAGAGCATACTCTTAATATTTATTGAGCTCCCTGACTTTTCAAGACTGCCATAGAATGTATTTTGTTTTCCTTTAAATTGCTTTAGGTATATTTCATGTGTACATGTCAGCATGACTCATCAGCACATCTGTACCTTTATTATAAGTAGGAGTTAATTTGTTATTTTAGCCACATCATACCAACTTTTAAATTGGTCATATGACCCTTTGGGAAATGTCCCGAATCCCTCATTTAAGTTTTACTTTCTAAGTTTGGTGTTTAGTTCATTCTTCATATGTGATAGTGAAAGTAAAAGCCTTCCTGGCTCTGAAGACTGACGTTTTCTTGTTAGGGAAAGAAACCTGATAGCAAGGTAGAGTAACAGTGTTTCCCACAGGAGAAAATAACAAATCAATAGAATCTAATTACAATTCTTACTCCAGGGAATAAGAAGTATTGAGGATTTATTTTATTTTGAATTGGTTTTAAGTATGGAATAATTGTCTTTACTGTTATAAAAAGTAATTCGTGGTATTTATAAAATGTTGGGAATTGCTGCTTTAACAAACAATTAGTTAAGTCCCACAGCTTTCAGAGAGGCAGGGAGCTGTAGAAACTTTTGAAAAAGTAGCATTTCTCTGGATTTTACACGGAAATAGAAAAATTAAAAGAGTAATTAAATTAAAAAATCATGGTAAATGATATTCGGTGATTATATATACTTTTGGATGTTAACGCTAGTTGGGAGAAGAAAGGAAAAATAATAAGTAGAAGCAGAGAACAGGATCACTGGAAGGGATCTGAGACATTGCCGCTTCATCCATTTTAGCAAACTTATTAGCACGGCATGTACCGGCACAAGGATCTTGAGAGTGTGTGAGTTTAGCTCTGCCTAATACATTACTACTTGTGAGATCTCCGGGAGACTGTGTCCTCTTTGAGATTGAATTTCTTCCATAAAATGAGCATGATGCTACCTTACTTAAATTTAAGAGTTATCATGAAGACAAATGAAATAGTAAAGGACTACAAAGGACCAAGCGAATAGGAATTACGTTTTGCAGTGGAGAAGCAAGCACCTGGGGAGAATGTAAGACCTAAGGTTCTGTAGTTTATGACCTACTCAGGCCCAGAATTTAGTTTTTCAAATCCCAGTAGCGTGTTTTTTCTGTTGTGCCAAAAAGTGGCACACCTCAGAGAAGGGAAAAGGTGTGTGAACTGTGGGTATACTGGGGCTATCAGTGTGCTTCTGAGGGAAGATATGCAACACTACTTCCCAGAGATGTCCCTGGAAATGATATAGAAGATGCTGAAGAATTCAACATGATGGTGAAATGAAGCATTTGTAATAGTGCTGAGAACAGAAAAACGGACTAGTGAAAATTTGTAAGCATGGCTTTGAATATAGATTTGTTATATAAACAAACTAGCTAGTTTATTTTTAGTGCAATAAAATAATTGTTTTAAGAAAACATAAAATACTCAATATAAAATGCATTTTAAAACTCCTGTAGGCCGGGCACGGTGGCTCATGCCTGTAATCCCAGCATTTTGGGAGGCCAAGGAGGGCAGATCACAAGGTCAGGAGTTCAGGGCCAGCCTGACCAACATGGTGAAACCCCATCTCTACTAAAAATACAAAAATTATCCGGGTGTGGTGGCGCATGACTGTAATCCCAGCTGCTCAGGAGGCTGAGGCAGGAGAATCACTTGAACCCGGGTGGGCAGAGGTTGTAGTGAGCTGAGATCGTGCCATTGCACTCCAGGCTGAGTAACAGAGCGAGACTCCGTCTCAAAAAATAAAATAAAATAAAATCTCCTGTTTAAAAAAAAAGAATCACAGGAAAATTGTTTGATTTCTCAATTAGATACATTTACCACCATGCTCATGTTACCTGGTTAAAAATCTGATTGTTTCCCTCCCGCCCACACCTTGCTTGATACCAAATGCAAGCACATTTCCTGTTCCTTCCAAGGCCGTAACCATTTGGTGCCTAATCTAAAATCCTCTGAAATTTTGCCTGACTTAAATTTGGTGGCAAGTCTCTATGGAAATTCCCCTTCAGACTGATGGTTGACAGAGGGCCAGGCATTCAGAAGAATCACGCAGGAAAGAACGTGTTTGTTCTAAAAAGGCAAACCTTCCTACTCAGAAAAGACTTCTTTTTTCTGTCTGCCAAGAAACGTGAGAACAACAGATTGTAGAACTTCATCGTGGCTCACGGACTGAAAAGGCAAAGTCATGGAAAGGAGGGGGAAGGGGCGCTGTGGGAGTCCCATGTGTGTTAACTTTTTTCTTGGGAATGCTAAAAAAAAAACTCAGCCTCTTCCAAAAAACTCTTGATAATGAAAATATCACCATAGTGCTCAAAATGGACCAGTAATTAATGTAAGTGGTATTCTGGGGAGTGCAGATGACTCAGAATCCAACAACAAGATGTTAGGCAATGTTTTCCTGGATCCCACAGCTTAGTCCTATAACGGAAGGCAAGACGCCTAGTGATTTTTTTTATTTTCGTCTACACAACGGATTCCACATGTAGAAAACCTGTTATTCCCATTAGCTTCTACCTGTTAACACTCTGGTTTACCAGAACATTCTAAACCTCTCATGGTGGGCATGAATTTCATTCTATAAAACTTTTTAACCAGAACTATGACAATGAGCAGGGAACCATTTTTCTCTTTCACTTCTCAGGTGGAGGTCTGAATTAGCAGGTAAATGGCCAGAAGGCAAGGAAGAAAAGGGAAATGCCAACTTCAAATATTTGACCTGCCAGAAAAACTGACCCTAAGTAGTAAATGACCCAGCATCACTCCATTTGGTTTCTATCTTATTAAAATTAGTGCCTGGCCTGAGCCTGACAGGAGGAGGCTGCAGTGACCCATGATTGCACCACCGCACTCCAGCCTGGGTGACAAAGTAAGACCCTGTCCCCAACAAACAGACGCCCAAAAATAGCGCTTGGACAACTTCTCTTGTGGGTAGAGTGTAACAGTCTGCATGGGACACTTGTTCCCTTTACTGAGTCAGGAATGCCCAGCCTCTCACTCATTCAGGAATTCATATTCACCCCAGACTCACTGATGTTCTCATCTCTTACTCACCAAAAGCAGGGGCAGGACTGGAGTGTTATTGAGGTCCCTAAGCATTATTGCTGTTGTTGTTAGTATTATTATTTGAGATGGAGTCTCGCTCTGTTGCCCAGGCTGGAGTGCAGTGGCACCATCTTGACTCACTGCAACTTCTGCCTCCTGGGTTCAAGCGATTCTCCTGCCTCAGCTTCCTCAGTAGCAGGGATTATAGAAGCCTGTCAACACGCCTGGCTAATTTTTGTGTTTTTTAGTAGAGACAGGGTTTTGCCATGTTGGCCAGGCTGGTCTTGAACTCCTGATCTCAGGTGATCTGCCCGCCTTGGCCCAGCTTTTATTTTCTATATGAACCCTTCCCAACCAGGGTCTTGTAAGAGTGGTCTTTGGTTTGATCCCCATTCTGGCATTTCGACATGTGGTGTCTCTAGTGTTATCACAGAGTAAGTCAACAATCATTTCTAAGTACATAAGCATTACGAATTTAACACCTTGTAAATGTGTCACAGCAACACTGACTCTGCTAAGAGAGGGTAAGTCTCCCTTGAGAGAAGGTAACTTCCACAGAAGGGATGCAGAAAGGTAGCATCGTTACACAGCTCACTGGCAAAAGCAGTGCATCGGCTGCTGTTTCCTCCTCTACTCCCCTGGGATCTCAGTGTGGGCGTCAAACACAGGATGGACCCCCACCAAGCCCCCTGCTTCTGCAGGAAAAACAATCAAAGGCAATACGGGTCCAAGGCCACATCTCCCCTCCAGCCGCTCCCACGCCACCACACCTAAGCCTCGTGGTTTGCCACATCCTTCTGTGCCTCTGAGGCCTGGGCACTAACTGCACTTTATGGGGAGAAGGGGTAAGGCGGTAAAAAGAGAGTGAAAGAGAAGTTCCTAGGTCTTGACAATTTGGATGTGACCTCTTTAAGTCATTCGAACAACTTGTTTTAAAAACACCAAGTGTTGGCCTGTAATCCCAGTGTTTTGGGAGACTTCAGCGGGGATGGCTTGAAGCCAGGAGTTTGAGACTGACCAGCCTGGGCAATATCATGGGACCCTATCTTGACAAAAAATAAAAATAAAAATTAGGCATGGTAGCGTGCCTGTAGTCCTAGCTACTCAGGAGGCCAGGGTGAGAGGATCCCTTGAGGCCAGGTATTCAAGGCTGCAGGGAGCTATGACTGCACCACTGCACACCGGCCTGGGTGATACAGTGAGACCCTGTCTCTTAAAAACCAAACCAAACCAAAAACACAGTGATTTACCCATGGAGTAACATGATGGATAAGGCAGATGCTGTCTGCCTTAGGAAAGGTCTAAGAAAGCCATAAATAGTCCTGGCTCCACGGTGGAAATCCAAGCCCTGTTGAGGGAGGGTACTTCCCGACCATTTTCCCTTTGGACAATCATAGCGGGAAACGTTCACATAACGATGGCATCCTAAAGGACGATGCTATCAAAACAATAAGCCACAGAAGTTCTCCGGGGGGCCTGGAAGCCAAGGCAGGCACAGTCTCGGGTCTGCCACAAACCCAATGTCTTGGCTCTGAGACTGTCTTCACCCTCAAATTCCAGCACCAGGTTTCCAAGTCACCCAGCTTCCCCTGCCCTCTGAGAGGGGCAGTCCTGGGGTGGCTGACTCACCGTCATCTCTTCTGGGTTCCCATGAGCTATTTCCACCACCCTCAGGGCAGGATCCACCTTCACCTTGGCACGGGACATGAACTGGATGACAGACGAACTGTCCTGTGGAAGAAACAACAGAACTTGCTCTAAGAGTTTTCTATAATAACGGCTGGGCCTTGGGAGGGACTGGGCAGAACTGAAATTCTATGATTCCATGTAGCCCAGACAAAGATTTTATCATTGAACCAGATACCGCTCCATCCCAGGCATCCACATAAATATAGACTTCCAGGGTCTCTCTGGAGAATTCCTTGCAGATCATGGTGGATGCTGGGAAATGATGGAGTTTGCCAGTAATCAGCACATGCAAGCTGTGTGCTGTGGTTTCCAAGCAGTAAGAGCCAGCTATTTGGATATTGATATTGACATGTTCACAAAGAGTTGAGGATAAATAAAGCTGTTTAATTGTGTACAGCAAATCTAGGCCTGGCATTCCACAGAAGGCATCTGATTCTACATTTCATAAGCATCTTCCAGTCCTGACCACAACCCTCAAACCCTTCACAGGAGTTGCTTTTAACTCTTTCTTTGCTCTTAAATGAAGCTGTTTTGGAGTAAAAACCATTTAACATTGAAAAAGGGTAGCTGAGGGGGAGATGGGGAAGGGGGAAATATCTGGCTTATAAATGAAGCTTAAGGAGAAAGCGGCAGGGGTATAGGGGAGCATATCTAAGACTCGGGAATTGCCCCCCACCAGACGCAGGCAGAAGCCTTGCTGCAGGTTCAGATTCAAAGCTGATCCACGTAACCGGAAACGGCGCCAAAGCAGGATGGAGAATGAATTTGGGAGAAGATGGGCGCTGACACAACTGTGGCCTGGGGAGGAGCCAGAACCTCAGGCCACTGGTACAGGTTGACCATGGAGCAGAAGGGCAGCCTGGCTTCTGTCGTGGAAACAGACAGCAGAGAACCAGTGCACTCAACGTTCTACCTGTGGGGCAGGGCAGGAGGGGCTCCAAAGGCAAGGTGTCATGTGGTGTCCCCACCCACATCTCCTCAGCTTGCCTGTCACGCAAGGAGCTCACACTCAGAAGCCGGCTTTGGCTAAACCCTCAAAGAAACGGGAAGGTAGAGGACTCCGTAGAAATAGTTCCAAGGGCACCCTTTGCTCATCTCTGCCAAAGAAACCACAAAGGCCTTCTGGGGCACCCAGGAACCGCAGTCTGTACGTGTGACTTGGGAGTTACACACCAATTATTGTTCTTTTCTTAAAATACATTTTAAATGCTTTTGGGAAGCCTCTCATTCAAAAGAGTTACTCCAGTTAACTCACTTTAAGCAGGAACTAATTCTGTATACAAATAATCTTTTACCAATTTAACAGTTTTATAAAGTTGGGGGTCTATGTATCAGGATATGTCGTATTTTCAATCTTAAATAATAATGATCATCTTGGGCTAGGCACAATGGCTAAGACCTGTGACCCCATCACTTTGAGAAGCTGAGGTGGGAGGATCACTTGAGGCTAGGAGGTCAAGACCAGCCTGGGTAACATCCTATCTCTGCAAAACGTTAAAAAAAAAATCACCTGGCATGGTAGCAAGTGCCTGCAGTCCTCGCCGAGGACCACAGGGCAGGATCACTTGAGCCCAGGAGTTTGAGGCTGCAGCGAGCCATGACTGCTCCACTGTACTTCCATCTGGGTGACAGAGCGAGACCCTGTCTCTAAAAATATTTATATAAAAAATTAAATACAAATAACCTTGGATATGACTAAGGATAATAAGAATGATAACTGCCAATGTTACAGGCAGGCAGACGAGGAGTCTGGCACGGGATGGGCCCCACGGTGGGGGATCAGTGAAGAAAGCCTTACGGACTGGAAGAAGAACACTTCCAAAGAAACCCGACCCTACAGTGATTTTAAAAGTCAGATCCTACATTTCAAATGAAAACTTGTTAAGGTCAAAACAGTAAAACCTCAAATTCCCTTGTCTGGGGCCAGATCTTGAGGTCAAAAGGAAAATAAACACGACTGTAGGCCCAGGCAAACCACAAGCCTGGCACCGCTCCACATCCTTCGGGAGGCCTGGAGCCACGCGGGCTCGACTCCCCAGGGGAGGCTGTAGCTGGCTTCAGGGCGACTGAAGCTCTGGGAGCAGCTGGGGCTCCATGTGGCTTCCAGGTCAGCTTGGTTCTAAGTCTTTCTCTGTACCTGGAAGTGCTGCTGGTTTCTGCTGAAAGGGTACATGGAGAATGAATCTGAAAGGCTTCATGTGACACCCCACCGCTTTCAGCTCTCTTGCCTGGGGCTCCACTGGCCTGGCTGGCCCATGGGGACAACAGTCACTGGGACGTGTTCCTTGGGCAAAGGGTCACCACTGGCTACCGGGACAGAAATGCAGAAGAACCAGGCTGCAGAGTGTGCGTGACTAACTGCAAATAACTGAAGTGTGGGCAGCAGCCATCTGGGCTGAGGATGAAGGAGACATCAGAGTGGCTTTCAGCCACCAGGGCTCTGTGGACAGTGGCAAGCATGGCACAGCCAATAAAGCTGTCTGCAGTGCCATTTGTGAAGCATACAGACAGGACAGGTAAGTGTGCAGGGGCAAAGTCCTCCAGCCTGACGGGGACACATGTCAGGAAGGTACTTCCTGAGATGCGGAGCTTCCAGGCTCCCTTCTGGAATCAGAGGATGGCCAGTGGTGCTCTAAGCCGTGCCTGGTCCTCCTCTAACACAGTACTTTATAAAGGGAGAGGCACAAAGAGAGAAGAAAGCTCTGGCTGTGAGTCCAACTTGCCCCAAACCAGTTTCCTTCCAGAGCAAACCAAAGAGACCAGAACTGTGCACAGCTCTCTTTGGGTGTGCGAGGGCTGTAACAGCTACAGATTGGCCGGGCGCGGTGGCTCAAGCCTGTAATCCCAGCACTTTGGGAGGCCGAGGCGGGTGGATCACGAGGTCAAGAGATCGAGACCACCCTGGTCAACATGGTGAAACCCCGTCTCTAATAAAAATACAAAACATTAGCTGGGCATGGTGGCATGTGCCTGTAATCCCAGCTACTGAGGAGGTTGAGGCAGGA